CGATAGATATTTGTTTATGGTCATGACAACGACTACAACACTATGACTATATCACAAGTATTGGGAAGCTTTTTTTTCTTTGTTTACTAATATTGAGTGAACTGTCTGTATTATTTAGGGAGCACATGTTTGTTGACTAATGTTGGGTGAACTGTCTGTATTATNATTATTTAGGAAGCACATGTCTGTTGACTAATGTTGGGTGAACTGTCTGTATTATTTAGGGAGCACATGTTTGGTGACTAATGTTGAGTGAACTGTCTGTATTATCTGTGGAGCACATATTTGCTGACTAATGTTGGGTGAACTGTCTGTATTATTTAGGAAGCACATGTTTGTTGACTAATGTTGGGTGAACTGTCTGTATTATCTGGGGGGCATATGTTTGGTGACTAATGTTGAGTGAACTGTCTGTATTATCTGTGGAGCACATATTTGTTGACTAATGTTGGGTGAACTGTCTGTATTATTTAGGAAGCACATGTTTGTTGACTAATGTTGGGTGAACTGTCTGTATTATCTGGGGAGCATATGTTTGTTGACTAATGTTGAGTGAGCTGTCTGCATTATCTAGGGAGCACATGTTTGTTGACTCATGTTGAGTAAACTGTCTGTACTATTTAGGGAGCACGTTTGACTGACGTTGGGTGAACTGTCTGTTTTATTTAGGGAGCACATGTTTGGTGACTAATGTTGAGTGAACTGTCTGTATTATCTGTGGAGCACATGTTTGTTGACTAATGTTGGGTGAACTGTCTGTATTATCTAGTGAGCACATGTTTGTTGACCAATGTGGAGTGAACTGTCTGTATTATTTTGGGAGCACATGTTTGGTGACTAATGTTGAGTGAACTGTCAGTATTATCTGGTGAGCACATATTTGTTGACTTATGTTGAGTGAACTGTCTGTATTATTTAGGGAGCACGTTTGACTGACGTTGGGTGAACTGTCTGTATTATTTAGGGAGCACGTGTATGTTGACAGAAGTTGAGTAAACTGTATGTATTATTTAGGGAGCATGTGTTTGTTGACAAATGTTGAGGAAATTGTCTGTATTATTTATGGAGCACATGTTTAACTGAAGTTGGGTGAACTGTCTGTATTATTTAGGGAGCATGTGTGTTGTGACTGATATTGAGTGAACTGTCAGTATTATCTAGTGAGCACAGGTTTGTTGACTAATGTTGGGTGAAATGTCTGTATTATCTGTGGAGCACATGTTTGTTGACAGAAGTTGAGTGAACTGTCTGTATTATTTAGGGAGTATGTGTTTGTTGACAAATGTTGAGGAAATTGTCTGTATTATTTAGGGAGCACATGTTTTACTGAAGTTGGGTGAATTTACTGAAGTTGGGTGAACTGTCTGTATTATTTAGGGAGCATGTGTTTTGTGACTGATATTGAGTGAACTGTCAGTATTATCTAGTGAGCACAGGTTTGTTGACTAATGTTGGGTGAAATGTCTGTATTATCTGTGGAGCACATGTTTGTTGACAGAAGTTGAGTGAACTGTCTGTATTATTTAGGGAGTATGTGTTTGTTGACAAATGTTGAGGAAATTGTCTGTATTATTTAGGGAGCACATGTTTTACTGAAGTTGGGTGAACTGTCTGTATTATTTAGGGTGCATGTGTTTGTTGACTAATGTTGAGTAAACTGTCTGTATTATCTGTGGAGCACATGTTTGTTGACCAATGTTGAGGAAATTTTCTGTATTATTTAGGGATTACGTTTTTGTTGACTGCAATTGGGTGAACTGTCTGTACTAATTAGGGAGCGCGTGTTTGTTGACTAATGTTGAGGAAACTTTCTGCTAGAGTTTGGGTTAACCGTGCTAGGGGTGCTAGCTGGTGTCCGTTTATCTGTCCCATGGGTATTCCGAGTATATACTGCAGTATACACGCGAAACGGCTTCACTGTCCAGACATTTATTTTAATAAACAATACATTGGGGAAGTAGTTTGTTCTCGTACTTACATTGTATCGGTTTTCTTGTCACCGCCGTACGTTCAGTTCGTGTTGCCTTGCCGTCGTTTCGTTTTCAAAGAGCTGGGACTAGCACGTGCGCTGGTCTACCACTTGTGTCATTTACATAACAAACAATAAATCCATCCAATCACAAGCTGACATCTAGGCCACGCTCCACTGATTTAAGAATGTAATCTTATAATTTGAACTGTATTGCATAAATCACCGTGGTAAAGTATTCACATATGAATTGTTATAACCAAACTTATTATGCATATACACCTGTTATAAGTACAGAAAATTACGTGTTCAGTGTGTTTCTGATTTTTGTTGATAAACTGATATAAATATTTTCCCAATTGCGACTGTTATCAACAATATCCAAATGCATTTATTTCCTGTCCTTGCAGTAGTTTAACTTATACTCTATATTCAGATCATAGTCCGTATTCTTATAAGTAATGAGGTATAAAGAGGACATATTCACAACATGGTTTGGAAAGTCACATAATGTTCTGTTCGTTATACACAGGTATATATAAGATAGCCAACTCACGGTGTCGTCGTTATATACAAGTATACATAACATGACCAACTCATGGTGTGGTCGTTATATACAGGTATATATAACATAGCTAACTCATGGTGTGGTCGTTATACACAGGTATATTAACATAGCCAACTCACGGTGTCGTCGTTATACACAGGTATATATAACATAGCTAACTCACGGTGTCGTCGTTATATACAGATATACATAACATGACCAACTCATGGTGTGGTCGTTATATACAGGTATATATAAGATAGCCAACTCACGGTGTGGTCGTTATATACAAGTATACATAACATGACCAAGTCATGGTGTGGTCGTTATATACAGGTATATATAACATAGCCAACTCACGGTGTTGTCGTTATATACAGGTATACATAACATGACCAACTCATGGTGTGGTCGTTATATATAGGTATATATAAGATAGCCAACTCACGGTGTTGTCGTTATATACAGGTATATATAACATAGTCATCTCACGATGTGGTCGTTATACACTTGTATATATAACATAGCCAACTCATGTTGTGTAAGTATCACAGAGGTATACATAACTTAGTCACGTTATATTGTGGTCTCAATACACAAGTATGCATAACATGCAATCTCACACCATGATATGGTTTTTAAACACAGGTTTACATCACATTCATGCGCACACACTGGTGTGGTCGTTATACAGAGGTGTGAGAATATACATTATGGAAGGTGATACACATGGACACTGTAGAAAGTGAGGCACGCGATCACTGCAGAAGGTGAGACACGCGGTCACTGTGGAAAGTGAGACACGTGGTCACTGCAGAAGGTGAGACACGTGGTCACTGCAGAAGGGGAGACACGCGGTCACTGTAGAAGGTGAGACACGCGGTCACTGTAGAAGGGGGGAAACGCGGTCACTGTAGAAGGTGAGACACGTGGTCACTGCAGAAGGGGAGACACGTGGTCACTGCAGAAGGTGAGACACGCGGTCACTGTAGAAGGGGAGACACGCGGTCACTGTAGAAGGGGAGACTCGCGGTCACTGTAGAAGGGGAGACGGTCACTATAATACGTCACTATTACACGTGTACATCCGATGGTCACTACTGAGGGTGACGCATTGATTGAGATGTCATGGCTGTATAATTGATGTTTGGCCGGAGCAGTCTGCTCCTCTATCCCGGGGTTATATAGTCTTTATGTGTGTTAGGAGCTGTCAAGAGAGACTTATCACCAGTGTACGTGTGTCTACTGACTGTTTTACCTGTACAGGGGAAGTGTGTGGATGCTCAGGACGACGACACAATAAGGTAAGCATTCTCTCCTTTAACATATTGTTTAGGTATTTTTGTTGTATTCTGTGTGTTCAAGAACAAAACTATCATTCTTAAATTGGTAAGATGCTTAGAGCGAGGTCATCGTCTTTTGGGAACAGAATGAAATTGGGATGTTGAAGGCATTGTCTTATCGTGTAACGTAATCGTCATCAACGACTTCAACCACGTGTACATATACCAACAACATTTATAATTAAACGATTTATATCTCTTTACACACCAGTTCTACACCTTGTCCCTCTTGACTGAATATGCTGCAATTTCTGCAGCAAGTTTTTATCTTTTTTTTGTTACGAGTTACGGAGAGTTACAGGTTTAGCCCGAGTCCATATGTTCGGTAGGCTGTACTGTATTTTAGCCTGAGGATAGATTTGTGTGGTGATGACGTGTTATTTAACACAGAGATAAAGGTCTTATTGTGATTACATCTTAATTTATATAAACTGTCCCTTGAGTTAATCAACGGGATTACAAACCCTACGGGGTTATTGGTGTGATATTTGTATGTAACAGGTATCATCGGGTTTACAAACTCTACGGGTTATTGGTGTGATATTTGTATGTAACAGGTATCATCGGGTTTACAAACTCTACGGGGTTATTGGTGTGATATTTGTATGTAACAGGTATCATCGGGTTTACAAACTCTACGGGGTTATTGGTGTGATATTTGTATGTGGTTATTGGTGTGATATTTGTATGTGAATGTAACAGGTATCATCGGGATTACAAACTCTACGGGTTATTGGTGTGATATTTGTATGTAACAGGTATCACCGGGATTACAAACTCTACGGGTTATTGGTGTGATATTTGTATGTAACAGGTATCATCGGGATTACAAACTCTACGGGGTTATTGGTGTGATATTTGTATGTGAATGTAACAGGTGTCATCGGGATTACAAACTCTACGGGGTTATTGGTGTGATATTTGTATGTAACAGGTATCACCTGACTTATAACTACACGTACTCTAAAAATTGAATCGATTGCATATGTTTTCCGCCAATGTACAAGATATTTGTGAAGTATTGTGCCAGATGTATATGTTTATACGCCTATATACAATGTGCATATGGTAATAAAACTAAATTTAAAATGTGACACTTAAGGTTTATCATTGTTACCACCGATTACAGCCAACAACAAACAAACAAACTATGGTAACCTCTCACACAATCTATCATTGGTTACTTTTTATGACCAATTAGAGTTTGCAGTACATATAGGTTTTAGACAGTGACTAATGGACCTATATTACCTCTCTGGATTCCATATCCTCCAGCATTAGTCTCCGAGAAATACAAACCCTAAAACAATTTATTGTGTAATATGACCTCATTACCTGTTGTAGAGCTATTGTTTGTTGACGGATGGCTCCCTATAAATTATTGTGCTTTGTGGGTAGTACGTGGACATTATGAAATTGCCTGTATGGGCTGAAACATTCTAATAAAGAAATGGTGAT